ACCAGGTCAGACTGTTAATCAAGCTTTCTATTTAGAGGTTCTGAAACAATTGCATAACAGTGTGCGACAAAAAAAGGCCTGATTTGTGGCAGACAAGGGTCTGGTTTTGCCACCACAATGCACCTACTCATACAGTCATCTGTTTGGCAAAAACAGCATGCCTCTCTTCCCCACGCACCGTGTGACTTCTTTTGTTTCTGCAAATGAAGAGGGACATGAAAGGACAGCAATTTGGCATCATAGAAGAGGTGAAGAAAAAAACGAGGGAGGTGCTGTCAGCCATCCAAACAGATAAGTTTGAAAAATGTTTCCAAGAATGGAATCACAGATTGGACAAATGTATTAAGTGTAATGGAGAGAACTTTGAAGGTGATAAGGTTGTTTTGTTAAAAAAAAAATAAACAGATAGCTTTGAGGGGGAAAATCCATTTGGGTGGGGCACCCCCTCGTATGATGTAATGAAGAATGCCATGGTGTGGGTCAGGCTCACCTTAGTCCTCAAAGTCACATCCTTGTTCTTCAATACTCTAGAGGCCTTGTGCAGCAGATTGACCTACTGCAATCCACCTCATTCTTTAGTTGGGTACATTTCTAGTAACTTATGAATCACAGCTGAGAAAGCTGTCTTTTGAGGAACCAAAACTCCTGATTTAAAAAATTTTTTTTCCATACTACTTCTTGCTGAGACAATTGCTTTCAATGTTTCAATGGCTGGAACAAAAGCTTCAGGGCTGCAGAGACCCAGTCTTGGTCATGACTCGAGTCCCCATGAATCCAGTTCCTGACCTCTGTGGGTGTTCTGTCAACGCTTTGTGGATGCGAAGATGGAAGGGTCGCCAGCAGGAACACTCCCTTGGGTGGCAGGCAAGATGTCAAGGGAGGAAAGTTCTTTCCCTTATTTCAACAGTGAGTGGCATTGGTGCGGCCTTCTCTTCTCTGCTTGTAACCCCCTGAGCTTACATTCTGTGCCCCTCTCCCTACCACCCCCAAGGGATTCTCGGCTCCTGGATGCTTCCCAGCGGCATCATGATCCCAGCTGCTCTGAGGAATAAAATGTCTCTGAGAGATTCTGTACTGTTTCCACCCTGGTGTGCTTTTCTTACCATATCAGTCACCCATCAAGCTGATTCCAACTCACGGCCATCCCCGTGTGTCAGTGCACCCTAGGGTATTCAAAGGTGTAT